GAAATAAACCAGGTGCATATGTGTAAGCATCGTATTGTCTCCCTGGTGTGAGAAACTGAAAGAGTAAATAAGGTCTAAAATGTACAAGAGATACTGTGAAATGGGAAGAAATTGTTAAAAAGAAAAAAGGAACTAGAATGGGGGAAAGGGAGGAAGGGCAAGACAGAAAACAATGCAAGTAAGTTTACCATTTGTGTCTCTTAGTTCATAGAAAAGGAAGGCTTGTGCTAACATCAATTGGAGAACTTTTTACTCCCATATCTTGTGCTCTGAGTAACTTTAAAGATAATAATATGCAATTTATTAACTATTGTTATTCTCCTATCATCTTGTTTTACTTTTTTTCCATAAAATAAAAAAGGCAGTATGGGGCAATCAGGTTGTATTTAGGAAGAAGTAAGACTATCTCTATTGCAAATAATATGACCTTCTGTATAAAATACACAACACACATTATTAGAACTAATAAACAAGTATAGCAAATTTACAAGATACAAGAGCAATACACAAATATTAGTGGTATTTCTTTCTACACACTAGCAATAAAAAATCTAAAAGTAAAATTACATAGAAGCATTTACAATAGCATCAAAAGAATAAAATACTTAGAGATAAATTTAACAAAAGACAAGCAAGATTTGTACTGTGAAAACTATAAAACACAATTGAGGTTGGGGATGTAGCTCAGTGGCACAAGTACCTGCCTAGCAATTGCAAGGTCCTGAGTTCGATTCCCAGTACCAAAAAAATGACAGAAAAAAAAACCACAATTGAAAGAAATTAAAAGAATATCTAAATAAAGTGAAAGGTATTTCATGTTCATAATTTGTTTTTTTTTTGTTTTTTTTTGTTTTTTTTTTTTTGGTTTTTCTCCGGTACTGGGAACCGAACTCACGACCTTGCACTTGCCAGGCAGGCGCTTTGCCGCTGAGCTAAATCCCCAGCCCCTCATGTTCATAATTTGTAAGGAGGACTAATGTTAAGATGCCAATACTTCCCAAAGCAATCTATAGATTTGATGTAATCTCTACCAAAATTCCATCTGCCTTTTCATACAAATCATCAAGCTGATATTAAAATTTAATGGAAACACAAGGAACCCAGACCAGCCAAAGTATCTTGCAGAGAAAGGTTAAAATAGAAAGGCTTATATATGGTAATTTCAAAATTAGTGAAAAACTATAGAAATGAAGACCGTGTGTCATTGGAACAGGGAGAGGCATATAGATCAATGGAATAAAATTGGAAATCCATAAACAAATCCTTATAGTTATTGTCAGTTGACTTTCCACAAAGGCACAAAAATATAATTCAATGGAAGGAAAATACTCTTTTCAATAAATAGTACTATGACAACTGGATATTCTCACACAAATGAATGATGCTAGACTCCTACTTCACTGCATACAAAAATGAAGCTAGACTCCTACTTCACTGCACCCAAAAGATAGCACAGACATAAATATGAAAATTAAAACTATAAAACTCTTAAAAGAATGCATAGGTGTAACGTTATGATTTTTTATTAGACTGATAAGTCTAAAATGACTTATTAGATATGTCACCAAAGCCATAACAACAAATGAAAAGATAAATGAAGAGATAAATTGGAATCATTCAAAAATTAAAACTTTTGTGCTTTGAATGGCAAAAAAATAAAAAAAGACAACCCACCGAATAGGAGAGAATACTTGCAACTCTTATAATCTGATAGGAATTTGTATCCAGAATGTACTTAAAATTCCTACAACTCAACACTGAAAACACGACCGTGTGTGTGTGTGTGTGTGTGTGTGTGTGTGTGTGTGTTTAGACAGAATCTTACTATGTAGCCCAGGCTGGCCTTGAACTCATGGTCTTCTTCCTGCCACAGCCTCTTGAGTGCTGGGATTACAAGTGTGCACCACCACACCTGAGCAACCAAATTTTTTAAATGGAAAAAGGCTTTGAATAGACATTTCCTGGGCTGGGCATGGTGGCACACACCTGTAATCCCAGCATTTGGGAGGCTGAGGCAGGAGGATTGTTGTGAGTTCAAGGCCAGCCTGGGCTACAAAGTGAGCTCAAGGACAGCCTGAACTGCATAGCTAGACCCTGTCTCAAAAAGACAATAAATAAATAAATAAATAAATAAACATTTCCTCAAAGAGACATACAAATAGCCATTAGGCACATGAAAAGACATTATTAGTCAAATGGAAATCCAAAACAAAACTACAATGATATCCACCTCACATGAACTATATTCAAAAACATAAGTGATTACACATGTGGATGAGAATTTGGAGAAGTCAGAACCTCGTATGTTCTTGAGAATGCAGAGAAATCAGAACCTCATACACTGCTGATGGTGATGTGAAATGGTGCAGCTGCTTTGAAAAACAGCTTTCAGCTGGGTGTGGTGCCCCACGCCTGTAATCCCAGCACTTGGGAGCTGAGGCAGGAGGATTACTGCGAGTTTGAGGTCAGCTTCGACTACATATGAGATCCTGTCTCAAAAAAATATTTTTTATAAAGAAAGTAAGACAGCTTTTTGGTGGTTCCTCAAAAAGTTAAATATACAATTAACAAAGGAGCAAAGGATTCCACTCTTAGTTGTATGCTTAAGAGAAATGAAAACATATCCATAAATATTTATAACAGCATTATTCAGTGCCCTAAAAGTAGAAACAACCAAAATGTCCATTCCTAATGGGTTTATAAATAAAATGTAGCATATCCACATGATGAAATATTATTCACCCATGAAAAACAATGAACTACTGATTTGTGCATGTATCATGATTAAACCTTCAAAATAATATGCTAAATGAAAGAAGCCAGAGACAAGAGGCCACATATTTCATAATTTCATTTTTATGAAGTATCCAGAATAGACAAATCTATAGAGGCAGATAATTAGATAGTGGTAATATCTGTCGATATACTAAAAGCTACTGAATGTGAATTATATCACACATTGTGAGAGTTAATTGTTGTGTCAACTTGAGCGGGTTAATTTAGCACGGTTCTGGCTGTATGTGGTGACTGCCGAGGGAAGACACACGTGGGTGGGGGTGGCACCAACCAAAAGGCTTGCAGCTCCGTTGTCCTGGGACATCTGTCCCTGGGTTCGCAGTGCAGAACCCTCTTCAGGTTCCCGATGTGCCTCCCACGGACTCTGCAGTGAGCTCCGGCGGTTCCGCTGCTGCCCGACCGCCCCCTCCAGCACAGACAGCGCCGCCGCATTCTCCCGCCCCGACCCCGCCGGCGGCCCGGCGAGCCGGCTCTGCCAACCCTCTCCATCTCACAGACAGACATGTAGTGCTTCTAGTGAACTCGGATGCGCAAGTTTTTAAAAACGAAACAAAAAGTATTGCATTCAACTCAAAAGCTTTCTAGAAGATTGGGGAAGAGAAAAAATGAAAAACGAAGAAAAAATATAATTTTTTCCCAATGTCTTAAAAAATAGACCAAACACAGTAGTTAGCTTTTGAAGACATAAGTACCATCCCGTGTCACTTAGCGGAAGGGGAGCATCCTGAGAAATGCATCAGTGAGTGGTCCCGCCAGTGTGTGGCCGTCATAGCTTGGACTTAGGGAAGCCGAGAGGGACCAGGCTCACCGCTCAGCGCAGCTCCCGATACAGCCAAGAGACAAACACAGGATGTGTGCGGTGCTGCAGTGTAGCTAGCACACTGTTTCACAGCCCCCTTTTTTATAAGGAGAGCACTCCAAAGTAGCGACAGAATAGTAAGTACACAAGCCAGGACACAGTCACTGCCATCAAGTTGAATGTACTGTACATACCAGAATAAGCTCTACTTTTGTAAGACTGGCCTGGCCATAGGTTTGTTATGCTAGCACCACCACAAACACTGTCCTATGGTTCCATGGCAACATTTTGATAGCTGTGACATCACGAGGTGATGGGAATTATTTAGCTCTATTAGAATTTTATGGGACCAGAATTGCATATACCATGTCACCCACAGAGATATGAAGGAATCACTGTAGCACATGTCTGCAGTTATAACTGGGATGTGTGTTATTTAGGAAAGTAAGGACTGGACTCAACTAACTGTTCTGGTTATATGTGACTGATTTGGTTTGGTTCGGTTTGGTTCAATTTGGTTCAGTTTTGTTGAGACAGTGTCTTGCCCTGTAGACTGGCTAGAATTCTCAGTCCTCCTGCCTCAGCCCTTAAGAGCGCCCTGCTTTTATTCTGTTTATGAAAGTAACACCTGCTTATTTTTAAGAGATTCTAAAGATAGAAAAGCGTAAACAAAATCGCGAACTCTCCCATTTTTATGCTTCTCCCCAGCAGGGTGTGGCGGCACACACCTGTAGTGCCAGCACTCGGGCACCTAAAGCAGGCGGATCAAAAATGAAGACCACCATGGCAAACAGCGAATCAGTGAGACTCTGTCTCAAAAAAAAAAATTTGAAAAAGGCTGGGAATGTAGCTCAGTGTAAAGGCCCTGGCTCAGTCTCTAACACCGCCAAAACAACAACAAAGGCAGGGAAGTGTGGGCTCCCACACTTCCGTGCACACAGCTTTCCCATCAAAGCCTGGAGTCCGGACACTGGCTTACGGAGGTTGCCTCACATTAGCCTCAAGGCAGCACCATCAAACCTTCCTTAGCCCTCACTTAGAAAAGGCTTCATTTTGAAGTTCTCCAGCTGCCACAACTTTCCCTCCTATTTTCTTCAATTCAAAGAAAGAGTCCACATACCCGCAAAGGTGCTGTGACAGGACAAGGCGGGTGGGGTGGAAGAAAAACTAACATCCATCAAGACCATAATCCTCACATTAAAATTTCCCATCAGCCCTGGTCCGTATGGCCCTCTACAGCACTGAAGGAGCTCAAAGCAAAGCACTGTGAAGTTCATCCCCTCCCTGCCCCATGTCATCCAGTGGCTCCCAAGGGTCCTTGTCAGGAGCCAGATGCTTGTTCCCACCAGGACATTATCGAATAGAATTATATTGAGAGAAATGAAGAAAAAGGAAGCTTACAAGATACAGCTCCAGTTCAACTTTTATTTGTATACAAAAATATATTATAATGGGGAAAGCATATTACTATTTCCAACTATATATAATTAATTACAAATATTTTCATAAAAGCACTTTAAATTACAGAAAAGCTATGTTTTAAGAGAAAAATACAACATTAGCATAGATCATCTGTTCTAATACATTGCAGGTAGGTAAACAAAGTCAGTTTCACTGTCTGCATTGCCCAGAGGCAGGCCCAGGAGCTACTCTTAGGGTGGGCCTAAGCACAGCCTGGTGGTGAGTGTTCATCTCTCTCCCCTGTGGCAGCAGCTGATTTTCTAGTAGCTGATTTTTGCAGTTCCTTAGAGCTCTCTGAAACTTCTTTCACATGATAAAAGGACCCAGAAGTCCTTACTTCACATACCTGTAAATAGGAGACACGTAAGGTTAGTCACTCACAGAAGTTCACAATTCCTAGCCTCAACCACATTAGAGTCTCAGACTGGCATCAAAGCACCAAACTTAATGGCAGGCTTTCCATGTAATGTGTCTGGCTAACTGGCTAACTGGAATGACTGGGCAACCAGCTGCGATTTCCATGAAGACAGGCTTGTTACACGGGTCTGATACAAATTGTCCTGCCATTATAATAATCTCTGTCACAACAGGCCTAGGTTCTCTGATGTAGATGGTGCAGCATAGAAGGGGCCATAAAATCTTCAAGTAAACAGAGATGATGCAAAGACTTTCTACCTGGTACTTAGCTCTGTCTGAAAGAAAATTAAGAACAGAGTTATTTTTAAGTACCCACTTTCTGATCTAATCAACCTGGCTATTTTCATACAGCACAGCATAGAACGCTTCTTAAAGAAAATTAACCCGTTTACTAAAAAAATTAAGAGACTATGACAAGGATCTTTGAGACCCACTGTATGGCTGCAGAAGACCCCGCTGGCATAAAGCCATTGGTGGGAACTCCTTCTGGAAGCTTATATTGATTGGTCCTCCTGGCTCGTGCAACCTTGTCCTTTCAGATTAATGCATGTGTGCAGAAAGATTGTGACAGTCCCTCCCTCTAAACCCCCCTGTTGCAGTTATGAGCTGATGTCTTCAGTATCCAATATTTTGGCCATAAAAAAATGAGTTATCATTAGTGTAACTCTTAAATGAGAGAAGCAAGTGTTGCATACTTAATTCGGGTCATCTGGCAGTTGACTTGGTCTCCCCAAGCCAGTTCTGTCTTTGGCACCCAACTGTTAGAAGTCAGACCTCACCAAGACCCCAGGAAACATGGGCAAATTACCCTAGGCCCTGGGATGGCAGCCTCCAGCTTGCCAGAGTAATGCTTGTGTGACCAATCAGATCATTTCTTCTGAGAAAGCTGGCAAGTTGTGGGGATGGTAATGCTCCGGTCTTGCTCACTTTCCATTTCCCAAACAAGAAACCATTGTTTTCTGGTGACCCGTTCTCACCGAACACAGGCTACTTTAACGCAAGCTTATCCTAAGAAAATCTTTCTGAGCCACTAGGGTCCTATTTCTAACACTAAAGAAGTCTTACGATGTAACTTCCTGCCCCTAGCCAAGCTGGTAAACATTACAGCACTTTATCAGAAGTTGGTTTCTTCTTCGATTTTTTATAATACCAAGCATGTACTCACTTGCTAATGTTCTGTCAAGATCAGCAATAAAGTCTTCTAGCTCTTTTGTGTCTCCTAATTTGGCTGTAAAGCAAACAGAGCTTGGTTTCCATATTTTCTTAAATTTATACTTCATCAGTACATTTTAGATATACATAAAGATCGCAGAGGCAATTTCTACCTGTACATGATATTTCTTGCTCCTCCTTTTTGATTTCCATATTAAAGATGAGCCCATGTCAAGTTTTCAAGGGTAATGGAATTTCCAGGATTATGGAATGGATTATTTTTATTTCACATCAATCTATCTTCAAAAACTTATTAAAGTGTGCCCTGTACCGGCCCTGAGTATAATTGCTGCTGCCCTTGCCTTTTGATGCAGTTTTGCTTGTGTCACTGCCCTGAGGCAACACTGCAGCCCTCAGAAGTCTTCCAGCATGAAATGGACAAAGAACTATTATTGCCCCTTACTCCATCATCCTGTCTGAATGCTGGCCCAGGGTACTGAGTCCATATCTAGATATTTGTCTCTCTGTAGCCTGACTTTATCCCTATATTCCACTTGGTTCTGTAATGTTTATCATTTGAGCCTTCCCTGAAGTGCGCTGCTGGATATTTTTATTATGCACCCTGTGCTGGCTACAAATAGTTCATTGTTCTTAGTTTATCAAGTCAATTTACCACTGGGGGGCTATTTTTCCCTCTTTAATTCCTAAAGGATCAGGTAGCAAATCTGGGCACAACTTAAGCCACCTCCTAGACTGCTCTGTCTCTGAATTCCACAGATCCATTACAGAGAGAAGGCTGGACAATGGCAGAATCCCCAGTGTCGGCTAACATTGCTGGGTTAAGAAGAGCATTTTAAAATACCCCTTTCAAAAGGAGAGAAGTCCTGTCTTAATGCCAGATTGAAAAAAGTGATGGAATCTTCATATTTCTTTTTTAAGTATGTTCCATTTTTATGGCATTCTACAACTATTTTCAGCAAGTGTAACTTTTCTTAGGGGGAAAAGCTTCCTTTTGTTTTCAAAAGGGCACTTGTCCAATGTAAGAGAACATTGAGCTCTCTAGCTGGAGACACTTTGCCAGTTCCAAAAAATAAGAAATGCCTCATACATCCTTAAAAACTTTTTAGTTCTATTAATAATCACAGTAGCACCAGGCTGGAGCTGCTATTTTGAATTGGGTTACAACACTGCTCGTTTCCTAATAGGTCATCTGAAAGTATTGGTTAAATAGTTGATACAATAAAAAACAATCCTCCTTTTTACAAAGCCAAACTGCTGAGTTTTAAATTCTAGAACCAACTAGTCTGGGAGGAACCTAGTAAAAAGCTATCATTTGGTAGAGCTTCATTTATACCACATGACAGAACAGTCTAGAATTTACAAGTTGTGTTTCTCTCTGCGAATTTGGGTGTTCTGCCCCAAATCATCTGATCATGTTGTAACACCAATCAAAACTCCGAGAAATAACAAATTCCACTTCACATTCTCCTCTACTAAGAAATTAGCCTTATCTGCCGGCTTGCACATTTGTGAAAGACTGGTTGGGGATAAAGGAAAGAGAGAAGGAGTGAGAAGGAGAGGGAACTATAGAAGCAGAAAAACTCACACTCCAACTGATGAGCTTACCTTTTCGAGGGGTGATGGAGGGAGAGAGTAGGGCCGGGGCAGAGTCTGTAGGCGAATTCAGTTTTTCATCACTGAAGCTGAAGCTGTTTCTGTAAAGTGAATCTGCACCTTCCAGGAAAGAAATCATACTCATTAAGAATGGTAGCCACTAAACTGTGGACAAATCAGTCTGCTACCTACTCACAAGCAGTTTATCTTCAAAAGGAACGAAAGTGGCAAGTCTAGAGTAAACAGGTGGGTTTCCAGAATTTATATTTATGCCCCAAAATGATTCAAGTAAGGGGAGAGTGCATGTGTACACGTGAGAATGTGTCTCCAGTCAAGCACAGCAAAAAGCCTTGCTTCCTTAAAAAACTACAATGGAATCATTAAGATCAGACCTCTACTGGCACACAGAAGCTACTGATCAAACGTCAAACCCAATGATCAAGCTATGAAAAAATGTCCCTCTGCCCTCTGAATCCCCTAAAATACAAGCACAAAGTTGGATTCCATGACTTAATAATCTCTCCCTCTCGGGCATGGTGGCATTCTGGGAGGCTGAGGCAGGACTCTAAGTTCAGGCCAAGTGTGGTGATGCACACCTGTAATCCCAGCACTCAGGAGGCTGAGGCAGGAGGCTCGCCACAAGTTTGAGGCCAGCCTGGGCTACAAAGTGAGACCAGGCCAGGCTGAACTATATAGTGAGGCCCTGTCTCAAAAGAAAAAAAGGACTGCAAGTTCAAACTCAGCTTGGGCAACTTAGTGACTTAGTGAGACCCTGTCTCAAAAAAATTTTAAAAGGGCTGGAGATGTAGCTCAGTGAAGGTCCTGGGTTTAATAAAACACACACACACACACACACACACACACACACACACACACACAAATCATCATCATCACTCCCTGCTCACGAGAGAATCTTTATCATGGATTTCTCCCAAGATCTTACAGTCTGAGGATGAGTAAGAGTAAAAAAATGAAGATTTCTGGTGGTCCATCTCCAACAGACATGCAAGGGATTTCACTGCTCCTATTCTCATCCCTCCAGAGTGACAGGAAGGCAGGGTTCCTGCAGAAGCAGGGCAGGGCTACAGGAGGCCCAGAAGCAAGTGCCCTGAGCAAGACAGTATATCTGGGCCTCAGCTTATCCCTCAATAAAAATAGAAAGTTGGACTTAACAATCCTTAAAATCCCTCCAGCCTTGGTGCACTCGGATTCTATCTCGCTAGGTTCTGCTGAGCAGAAGGAAACCAGCCCCGTCAGCCCACGGCCAGCCCTACTGAGGGGTGGCGCCATGGAGGCAGCAGCGCCGCGTCGGAGGGCCAAGGGCAGAGCAGGCAGCGGAAGCAGGATGTGGCCACTGCGGTCGCAGTGGAACAGCCTCCAGGTTAAGGCAGAACACAAAATCAGCCCGGGTTGCAGCAGAGACAAGCTCCAGACAGACTCCAGGTGAGGACAGTGGCTAAACATGGAGAGCCTGGCCGGGCCACCTATTTCCCTTAGGGTTCCTTTACTTTAGGCTGATTCTCTTCAGCTCAGGGCAGACGGAAACATCTTGCTTTGGTTCTCATAAGCCAAAGTGAACTTGACTAAGTTACACAAGACATGTTAGGTATAAAAAGAAGCAGCATTTCAGAAAGAGGTTCCTGGTCTGGATTTGGCTTCGTCCCTAAAAGGCTATTGCATCTTCTCAGGCACCTTGGCTGGTTTTCTTTCCTCCCCACTCTGACCAGGTGTCCCGGCCACCATCTTATTTTCTTTTTCCACCTGTCTGCCTAGTCCTTTTTCCCAAACATGCCCAGAAGACCTTTGTGACTCACGCTCATAGTCACTCTTCCTTGAAGAGGTGCAGCTCAGGTCATCTAAAAGGACCACGGTCATTTCCAGGGCTTTAATGATGATACCTACTGAAAGCCCAAACACTGAGCCTTATACTCACATCGCCCCAAAACAGACCCTCACAATGATGGTCCTCTAAAAAGAAGAGCTGCAGGATCAACTTAAGTTGCAGAAAAATTGAGCACCCTTGATCAGTTCCATTTTTAGCATTCCTGAGAAGTCTCGTGACAAACCGGTTTAGCCCTATTTCCCAACTTTACATGACCATGGGACACTTTTTGTGGCCTTGCATTTAATACTTCTCAAGACACTGCTCCTCTCCCGAACCTGAGCTGGAAAGCCCTCCAAGCCCTGCTTGGTTTGTCAGCCAGCTCACCTCCAGAGGACAGTCCCCTACACACAGGGCGTGGCCATGCTCACTGCAGACCTATGGCGGAGCATTAGTGTTTGTCACTGCAACCACCAGGGGACTCACCATGAATACGCAGGAGAAGCTTGTGGGGAGAAGTAAGACTTAGGGGCAAGGAAACTACAGAGGATCCCAGGAGAGTTGACCGTGGGCCAGAAGGCGTATGAGGCCCTTGGTACATTATCCTTGGCGCTGAGAAAATTCAAGAACTTCACCCTTTTCCTGATCCAGAGTTCCAGCTCCAAAACTCACTGGCCCAGAACTTGGGGGCCACTCCTCTCTCTGGTCTTTATCTCCCAGAACAGCCGGCACTTGGGAGCCATTATGGACACCACACCTCACTCCACCCCAGCCTGCACGCACTACTGGCACCTCTCCTGACTTTGTACTTCAACTCTGTTCCACCCTGATGCCAGCCATTTTGCATCCACTTATGATCGTCCTTTGGTGAGGGGACCACCACCACGAGCTCACCTTCCAGGCAAGTAGAGCAAAGATTACTGAGTATTTGGGGAAGGAACTATTTCACCACGGAGACTATGAAAAGAGGACAATGGTAGAGAAAAAGGCATCTGATGAGGATTCAGACAAAGCTTAAGGCAGCGCGGGCGTGGGTCTGTGGAAAGAAAAGAAGCCAGAGACGGGGAGTGTGGCCCCAATTTGCCTCTAATTCTTCAGAGTCCAGTCCACATGCTAAAAACCATGATCTAAGTACTTTCTCCAAATACAAGACAACCAACTTTTACTGGACTGATAAATTCAGTGGCAAGCTAAACTATCAAAGTGCTTAACAGTTCCTCTTATTACTGTACTATTGAACTCATGGTACTTACACAATGAGGGCCAAAGAGGAAAAAAAATCCAAGCGACAGTATTTTTATATGTAAACATGCATGCAGGCGTATCAGCATAGCATATGCTCACTTCCCCTCTCCTCACTCCTGCTCCCCCCCCACGACACACACAGTTAGCTCACACCCTGCCAGCTCATTGCCACACAGTAACTGTCATCTCTTTCCATGAGGTACACTGTCTGGGTAACCCAGCTCCAGATTCTGTAATGTTCCACTTTCATCAGCCACCAAGAGGAAATGAACGCTCAGCAGCCTAGAGCCAAATCTGCCCCATTTCCTTGCACTCGGGTACAAGTCCACGGATGCCATTCGCATGAAGAATGAAAAGAACAACCCCAGAGTGTGCACAGCAGAGGCCGTGTGAAAGGGCAGTAACCACCAGGCACTCTGTGTGTGGTTTTAATGATTTTTTTTTCTAAATTTCTTAGCAAAAGAATGGTAGGTCAGAATAGAAAAGGTCATCATAGAGAATAGTGAAAGGAATACGATTGTAGGTCCTGGTTTTCTGCTCTATTTACACAGCAGTGCAATTCTTAAAGTTTGTCTTCAGAGATTCCCAAGAACAAATTTTTAGCATCGAAGAACCCCAAACTCTAGACCTCTCTTTACCCTTCCCCAGTGAAATTTCCTCCCATGGACCTCCGTTAAGCATCCACAACGAGGAGCATCTCATGTGAGGTGCTGTGGGTAGATTTAAAGGCAAGCAAGACCTGACTTCCTTTCACTCCCTTGGAACTAGAGCCACTCCTTTCAAGATGACAAGCCAGTTGGTCTGATAAAATGACAGCAATGTGTCACTGGCTGATAGTATATTCATGTATTATGGATCCAATCCCATGCCAGGTGTTGCTATTAATAAGGGCTCAAGGGACTCAACAGTAATGATTTGGAGGACTTCAACAGGTGGTAAGGCTGGGTACTTCAGGGCCTTATGAAGTCTACTTCAATGAGCTCTGAAGCCCTGCCTCACAGGCATCTCAAAAGCCATTGAAACATCCATGGCAGGTCCACTTAAGGCACTGAAACCAAAAACCTCAAATTCTGGGACTGAGGTTTCTAAGGCACTACCAAAGAAATGAAAGTGTATTCAATGCACAACTGTTAACTTTAAGGGCACCAAAAAGCTGAGAAACTCAGAAATAGAATTGTTTAAAGGCAGGTATGGATTTTGGGTTTGAGGGGTCGGGTGGGAGAAAGGTAATGTAGGGTTAGCACCAACATCTGCTACTCCAGAAGGGAGTAAACCACTGAGAATAAACCTTACCCAGAGCTCCGGTAAATATAGAACAATTCCACAAATTTACAACAAACAAACTATAGTAATTTACTGAGACAAAGAAAGCCTTGGATCTCTTTCCCTTTTTCCACAGGGGATGGCAGGGATGGGGGCAGTGGTTCTCCCCCAAATCTAAATTCTGACAGCCTCACTAAAGTAGGATACAATAATACAACCTGATTCTCATTTTTACTACTGTGGTCCCAGGTTCTCTTCTAACACTACTGTATCCCTCTGGACAACTTACCAAACATCAGAATAAGACCTGTCACACACAGGAATTCTTAACAGTACCAGGAGGCCATCCTGATGGCCTAAGTGGACTCATCCTCTCATGGCTTGAAAGAGTTCAAGTTCTGGTGTCAGTGGGTCCTAGGAAGATCAGCTCCTACACACTGTCTGTCTGTCATTCTGGTCTCCCAAGGTCCATAAGGTACCCTCTCCTGAGACTAGACCAGAACACTCTAGGCATAAAGATTTGCAGATGTTCTAACACTTACAAATGCTAAAGCCAGTTCCTCATTCCCTAAAGTACCTATTATATCATAGCCTTAGCATACAGAGTAGATCTCAGACCTTCCCTGTTAAATAGCAAAACACCACCTCCTATAAAGAAAAATGTATGTGAAACTACAGAACATCAGAGATATTCATTCATCCTACCTAAAACCAACCAGTAAAGCATAAAATAACACATCAGTTAAAATTTGGAATATGGTGAGGAAAAATTTCATTAAAATATATTTGAAAGATCAAGCTATACTTCCCTAGTTTAAAAAATATATATATTCTTAAACAGTAATTCAAACCAAAGGTACCCACAATTTCTAAAGCATCCTGAGGACCAGGTTTGAAGAAAGCTTCCCTTGCTCCTAATTATATTCCCCCTTTACTTGAAAATTTCTCCACTAAAGTGCCTGATATTACTTATTGGAAAGCAAATCCATCAGAAAGGAACAACCAACCCTACTTTAACCAATGGCCATTTAAATCCCACCCTTCATGTGAAGTGAATAATCTGAGTTCTAGGCTCTACTGAGATATCTGCTAGCTCAAAGAAAGAGATATCTTTAAACACAACCACCAGCGATAACCAACACATGCTTTGGGTTTAACAAGACTTCCTTCTTCCTGAGGAGCTAGTTCCCATGCTAGTCAACCACCTACAGTGATAGACCAAGGCAAGAATCAGCCCTAGTGATTCTTCCCTTTTATCAGAAAAAATGTTATCAGATAATGCTACCTAACTTAATGAACTGGTAAAGATCACAAAGAACAGCACGGAGATCTCTAATAGCAAGAGCTAATAAATTATCGCAGTAAGGGCCTGGTAAACGTGAATTGCTGTTATTTTCGTTATCCTGGCTGCCCCCCTTTCAGAGAGCTACATTTCAGTAGGCTGCTCTCTCCAGCATTTTCTCCCACAGGAAAACATCAAAGGGCCATATGAGTATAACAAACGTCTGAGCTCCATTCTTGGCAGCAATTAAGATACACGTTCTACGCTTCCTTAAGAAATGACTATTTAGACACACACAACTCCTACCAAGAGTATTTCTAACTAGTCTCGTGGAGAACAAACTACACTTATGGCAGAACTCGCAATCAGCCATGAGTGAGAGAGCTCTGGCCAAATCCTAGCAGAACAGCCCTGTGGCTTAGAAAGAAGCTGTTCTTTACTACAGAGCAGCAATGACTAGCTTTCTTTCCCATGGAGGAGAGGATTTGTATTTGAGGAATAACTTGCTCCATGCCCCATTTAAGTTTGGCCACAGGCATTGAAACAAATTTCAAAAATTTTAACACTTTCCTTGGACACTGAAAATGAGCAGCCAGGATCTTTGAAAAAAATCCAAAAATTCTAAGTGGAAAATTAACAGCATAGCCTCCCTCCTCTCACCTCCAAAGTTACAGCCTGGTGTAACCTTCCGGCGGGGATGCTAGGAAAACTCCACCGGAACCCTGGTTTCTGACCCAAACTCTGACCCGGATGGTGAGGGCCACCATCCCTCATCAGAAAAGACAGTAACAAGGAGGAGCTCCAGACGTCAGAACCAGAGAATCACAAGGAAAGGCCATTTTCACACCTTTTTCCAAGGGCAGTAAAGGCTGAGACGGTTCCTGCATATAACCCATCTAGGGATTAAAGGCTCAAGAATAAACAAAACAATTTTTTTTTTTTCTGGTCTTTCTGAAACAGGGTTTCACTATGTAGTTTAGGCTGGCCTTGAACTCACTTTGTAGTCCAAGCCGGCCTCAAACTTGCAGCGATCCTCCTGCTTCAACCTCCTGAGTGCTGGGATTACAGGCATGCGCCACCATGTTCAGCCTAAAACTCACTTTAAAAATGACTTTGGAAACCATAATTTTAAAGTCACTAAATTTGGTGTTTAGCACCTTAACAGGTATCCATAATCTACTAGGACATTCAAGCTCCTGAAAAAAAAAAAAAAAAAAGAGCTGTCTCCTTTACAAGGTTGTTTAAGACAGAGACCCTGGGGTGACCCCCCACTGGCAGAAAGGTCTCCAGGAAGCCTCTTCGAGCCCTCTGCTCTGTCTCGGCTCCCGTCCGGCTGGTGGCCTGTCTGAAGGAAGACAGACACTCCAAACAGTTTTTGAATTTCGCAGTGCCAGGGAGTCTTTCAAAATTGCATGCCATGAAGGAACATGTCTGGGAGCTCACGGCCAGAAGAAAATGCAAGAAGTTATTTATTTCCAAAAGATTCCAAGAATAGCAGTTTATGAACCCTTTCCCGGTTTCACCAGTGTTTCGGCGCTGTGCTCTCGCACGTCCCCACCTGCCCCTCCCATTCCAGGGGCACTTGTTCCACACACCCCAAAAGTGACGGCGTAGAGCAGAGAAAAGCGGAGGCGGGAGGAGGGGAGGCGTGGCAGGGCCAGGCTCGGTCCTCCAGCCCCAGTCCCATCTGGCTGTTTCAGAAAAAGCGGCTGGAGCGCTCCAGCCTGGCGACACACCAGGCAGCCAGGTAGGGCAGCGGGTCCCGGGTCCCCTCTCGGCAGGCGAGGCGCCCGGGACCGGCCCGCGAGCCGAGCCGAGCCGAGCGGGGGGCCACTTACTCTCCGAGTCGCTGAAGCCGCTGCTGTCGCTGACGCTGGCGCTGCTCCGCCGCTTCATGCGCCGCAGGTGCTCCTCGTAGTGGAAGTGGCGCCGCTGGAAGGGCGACTCGAAGTCGGCCAGCACCGCGTCGAACTCGCACAGCGCGTCCGTCAGGTCGGCGGCGGCCGCGGAGTCCAGGGCCGGGGCTGCGGCGGGCGGCGCGCTCAGTGGATGGGCCGAGGCCGAGCCCCGCTCCGCTCCGTCCTCCCAGCCGCCCTCCCGGCAGCCCAGGCTGAGCTGGGGCTCGGCGACGCCGCCCGCGCCCTCCCGCGCTCGCGCATCCGGGTGCGGGGGAGGCGAACCCGGCGCTGGCAGGGAGGCTGAGGCAGGACGAGCCTTACGTGTCGGGCTGGGGCGGCCTGGGGTCAGGGTCCCGCCGGCCAGGGCACAGGGCGCGAGGGTAAAGGGACCACAGGGCCTCGCTTCCCGGTCCCCCGCCTGCAGGCGCGGGCTTTGCAGACCCCGAACCCGGGCACTCACCTGCAGCCGCTGCGGCCGCGGGGCTGCCCTGCGCCGTTGGGGGCTTCATGGGGCGGCTGGGCTCGGGCCCCGAGAGGCGCTGACGAGACTGGAGGGGACGCTGGCGCTGAGGCCGGGCAGTGGGGCTCGTCCTCCGCACGCACCCGCAGCGATCACTCTGCAGATCCGCAAGCTCTCGGATGCCTGGAGCCCCGCAGGCCGCGCTCTTATAGACGCCCGGGCCGGGGGCGGGGCCGGGCCAGGCGGGGCGGGGCCGCGGCGTCCGAGAGCCCCCGAGCCGGGCGGGCGCTGCAACCCCGCCCAGCTCGGGGACGCCCCTGGCCAGACGCCCCGCCCTCGCCACGCGCCCTCCTGGCAACCGCAGCGACGAGTCATCGTCGCCGGAGCCCGGGTGACAGCCCCAAATATTTACCCACCACTTTCCCCTCGCACCCGGACAGCCCGGGCCACGGAAGCGCCCGGCGTCACCATCGGAGCCCCAAAGTTCGCTCTGTTGGCGCCGGCGTTCCCCGAGCTCCGGGAGCCTCAGTTTGCTCGTCTGTGAAGTGGACGTGAAAATGCGGAGCCTCGCCGGCTTACTGCAAAACATAAAGGAACCTGTGGCCTTGGGAGGCTAGTCGGGTGGGTCCCCACCCTTTTCCCCCAGGCTCAAGACTGCAGGGACACAGCGGGCCGAGTGGGGGCCCCGGGGAAGAAGTGGGTGGAGTCCTTGGTTGCTGCCCTCTTGTACTGCGAGGTCCGGAACCCGGGCTTCCCCGCCAGTTCCCACCTCACTCAGGAGCCCGTCGGAGGAGGAGATACAGCGTAGGGGCTGGGGATTTAGCTCAGCGGCAAAAGCGCCTGCCTGGCAAGCGCAAGGTCGTGAGTTCAGTTCCCGGTACAGGAGAAAAACCAAAAAAAAAAAAAAAAAAAAAAAAAGGAGATACAGCGTAGACACGCCCTGCAGGGTCCACACTAAGGAGCCAGCCTCACAGGACCTGGCCGGCCGGGGACCCGTCGCGGCGGAGAGCAGCTGGGGAGAGAGGCTGTGCCAGTCAGCAGGAGAGCCGCTTGCCCCAGGGACCTACCTAACGGAAAGCGACGGCCGAGTGCGCAGTGGTACCGGCAGAGCTCTGCCTGCTCTTTCCTAGTTTGGGGCCCTGTGGGTACCATGCCCAGCACAAAGAAAAAGAAAAAAGTAAGGTGAGATCTGTCAGTCCTTCAGTTGCACTAGACACAGCTAACGTGCTCAAAGCCATTATGGCCGGAAGTTCTGCAAGACAGCTCCACCGGGTCTCTGCCTCATAGACTGGCCTCAGGGAGAAGAGGCGCATCCAGCCTGGGCGATGCAGGACCTCCTCGCGTCGGGATCTGGCCTGTACCCACTCAAGTCCCCACAGCATCCCGGAAGGGGGAGAAAACTGTCTCACGGGCAAGCAGACGACTCTCTGGCTAAGCGGCTAGACGAAGGCAGGACCTGTGGTTTCAGAGCCACTGCTGGTTTCACCACACCTCAAGCCGCGGGAGCGCCCAGGGTGTATGAGCTTGCAAACTGCGCAGCTGGAGAGGGTCCAACCAGGAAAGCAGATAACCAGGCCCAGTCAGTCTGAATCTGACTAGGATGCTTCCCTTCTTCCGCCGGCTTGTGCCGCAAAAGCCGCTTCTATGTTTATCTTGATTCCTTCCCTAGAATCAGGTAAAAGGCAGAAGTTAAACCCTTAATGTTTTGAGCCCTCTGGCTGGGCTTCTTGTCCTTGGAAGGCCCGGTCACCTGACTACAGTGACAGAGAGGATGCATAACTTCTGGGCTCCAGTGCGAGGTTGTCATTCACGGAGGAAGGGTAGGGAGCTGTATCTTTCACCAGACCTCAGCTTCAATTAACCATAACAATTCCAAGTTTCAGAAGGTCATTTGGTCACACAGACAGAACTGCTTCCAGAAAAAGACTATAGGTCGCCTTTGACTTGAAACAGGACAAGCACAACTTTTTCTGTTTTTAAAGACCAGTTCTTTATCTTACTTGATTTGTCAGGATATTTGTGCTGCTGTGATAAAATACCAGGCTGCATAATATGTCAGCAGCAGAAGTTTATTTCTCACAGTTCTGGAGGCTGGGAAGCACAAGGTCAGGACATCTGTGCTCAGTATCTGATGAGAACTTCTTGTTGTGTCACAAGGAAAGGAAAAAAAACTCCCACAAGCCTTTGATAAATCCCCTACCCCTTCCTAGAGGGCCCTGCCCTCCTGACTGAATCACCTGCTGATACTGTGCCTCTTAACACTGTCACAGGTGCGATTCTGTTTTGACATTTAGCCTGACACATTAAGACCGTAGCAGCATCTCTGTCCCTATGCACTGTTGACCATCTGCTTCTGGAAACATGTCCTGAGCCTCCATCCAACCACCTAGTCCTTCTTTGGTCTCAACTGAGTCTTCTTCATCATCACTAAACCCTGTTCCCTGCAGGTCTCACCTTGATCCCTGTGATAAGCACCTCCAAGTGATACAGGGGAAATGGTATAACTCCCAACTTGTTAGATGCCGGATATCCCAAGGTGGTGTTCCCCAAAATTGAAGAATGAGTTCTCAGGAACAACAGAGGTTAAAAGTAGGAAATTTTATCGAGGGAGAAACAGTTCCTGAGAGAGACAGGAGGGGACCTGGAAAGTGGGTTGCCAGCGACCCAAGGAAGGCAGTTTTGTAGAGCAAAATCACAAGGTGGGAAAACAAGCACAAGGTAGGTACAACATGGGGCAAAACTATGATCAACTGCCGGGTGTGGTGGGGCACACTTGTAATCCCAGCACTGGAGGCTGAGGCAGGAGGATTGCCACAAGTTCAAGGCCAGCCTGGACTATGTAGTGAGTTCAAGGCCAACGTGAGATGCATAATGAGACCCTGTCTCAAAAAAAAAAAAAAAAATCCACCAAAAAAACTATGATCAACCAATAAGATTACAAGTATACCTGCTTAGGTAATGTTGATCTGATGGGGAAGCAGGTCATGTAGCAAGTATACATGGAAAGAACAAGGACCTTTTTTGGAAAAGATTCATCAGGAGGTCCTGGTCTTCTGTACTGACACCTTGGAGGGCCTATCCTTTTCTGACTGCCTGATAATAATATCTGATAACCATCAAGATATTAGCAGAAGGATCAGAAACGTACATAATATTTCTACCTAGCTTAACCATCTATAATATTCCCTCTTCTGAAAAGGTACCCCTAACTTGCCTGACGGGGGCAAGGGGCAGTGACCTTTCGAGATACTTCTGGCTGAAGGGGGATGTAGTTGTGATCGGCAGTCAGAGATACTCCATGGAGGGTCTATCTAAAGGCCCTTGATAGGTGCCAGGGGTTCTTGGCCTGGGTAAGCTTATAGCTTTAAGTCTGGAGGAGACAAGACCACATTAAGTATGCATGGGCCAGATAATAAGATTAACAAAACTATTAAAAATACAGCCAACAAATGTTTCCACCAGGAATAACCAGTAATACCCTCCCACAAAGAGGGAAAGGAGAAGGTCCAGGAAATTTTAGAATCTGACATGACATTAATCTGTTGTTCAATATCTTGAACAACCATCAAGATGTTAGCAGAAGGATCAGAAACGTACATACAATGTTCCCCTTTTACAATTCCACAAGTACCCCCTTGTACTGCTGTTAGAATGTCTAATGCCATCCAGTTTTGGAGGACAGCTTGCCTCATTAATTTTGCTTCTTCATTTAGGAGAGAGAGTTCTGCCACAGGGTCATTTAAGGTCTGTTGAGTACAGTTAGTCAAAGCTTTGATATGTTGCATGACGTCCTCTAATCTTAGGGAAGATAGAAAAAATAGAAGCCCAATGATCATACTAGTGAAATACGTTTCTAAACCATTGGTGGGGTAAGTTTGCAGGTGTGTTGATATTTTTGACACTCCTGCCTTGTAAGTGCACAAGTCCCAGCATTCATCTCCCTACCCATCCAGGGGGTAGCCAGGGTCACAAATTGGTTCCACAGGAACCAGTGACTGCCACTGGGACTTCCCATCTAATTCCACGCTGATTAAACCAGTCTGTTGCGAATCAGACTTCGATCTGTGAAGTTATGGTGTATATATCCTGCTTGGGGGTGTCCATCCCAAGTATTTAGTAGAGGGAGGCCAATAAGAATAAGGGTGCTTTCCTTGTTCCCAACATAAGGGGGCCTTTCTACCAAGTTGTCCTACAGTTGGAGTTAACCACAGACAATGATCATCAGTATAAATACTTTCTGTCCATCACTGGGTCGTAAAGCTCTGGTCAGAGCTATGAGTTCTGCTAGTTGGACACCAGTCCCAGGGGCAAGTAAAGAACTTTCAAGTGTCTGATGTAGAGTCACCACTGCATATCCTGCCTTTCTTGTCCCAGTTTCCATGAAGGAGCTGCTGTCACAGAAGAGGATCAAATCAGGTCAGTAAGTGGTGTGTCTAACAAGTCTCCTCAGGTTGCATATGTATGAGAATTACTTGTTCACAGATAGGTCTTTTAGCTTCAGTTTTCTTCTTTTCTGGTAGAAAGATGGCAGGGTTTAAGGAGGAACATATCTTTATTCGAATGGCTGGTCCTTCTACAAGTAGAGCCTGGTATTTAAAAAGTGAGTTGTCTCACAGCTATAAGCTTCTTTTGGAAGAAAGAAGTCCTGCCACATTATGAGGTACATGTACAGTGAGATCTTTGCCTAAAGTCAGCTTAGATGCCTCCATTACCAGGAGAGCTCCAGCAGCCACAGCCGTAAGGCACACAGGCCATCCCTTTGCTGCAATGTCTAATTCATGACTCAGATACCCTACAGGTGTTGAGCAGGTCCTCAGTACCTTGTAAGCACTCCCAAAAACATGCCCTGCCTTTCATCAATGTACAGACTGAAATAGTGTCCTTTCGGTAGGCTCAACATTTAAAAGCGCTTGTTTAAGTTTCTAGAATGCAGTTTAGGAATCAGGTTCCCAGGTTAAAATATGGGTTCTGCCTTTTGGGCTTCCTTTATAAGCTGATAAAGGGATCGTGTAATCTCACCATACCCTGCTATCCAAAGGCAATAAAAGCCTGTGATTCCTAGGAATCCCCTTAGCTGTTTTAGGGTCTCATGTTCCAGGAAGGAAAGTTTTGGTTTAATTCTTTCTTCCCCCAGCATTCCAGTTCCCTTAGATATGATAAAGGCCAAGTATTTTACCTCAAGGCTGCAAAGTTGTGTCTTAGACCTAG